GCTCCTCTCACTAAGCATAATGTTTTCAAGATTCCTCTGGGTTGTAAAGTTTATTAGTACTTCATTCTTTTTTATGACCAAACACTATTCCATGGTTTGGATATGCCACATTTTGTTTATTCATTTATCGGTTGATGGAAATTTGTGTTATTTCCATTTTATGGCTATTATAAATACAGCTGTTATGAACATTTGTGTATAAATTTTTCCATAGACAAACACTTTCATTTCTGGGTATATACCTAAAATGGAATTGCTAAGTTATATAGTGATTCTATGTTTAACATTTGCAGATACTGCCAAACTATTTTCCAAAGTGGCTGCACTCTTTTATATTCCTACCAGCAGTGCATGAGTGTTCTGATTTCTCCATGTTTTCACCAACACTGGTTATTATTTGTCCTTTTTTTTTTTTAAGATTTTATTGATTTGACAGGGAGAGAGAACGCAAGACAGGGAACACAAGCAGGGGGAGTGGGAGAGGGAGAAGCAGGCTTCCCGCAGAGCAGGGAGCCCAATGTGGGGCTCGATCCCAGGACCCTGGGATCATGACCCGAGCCGAAGGCAGATGCCCAATGACTGAGCTACCCGGGTGCCCCATTATTTGTCTTTTTTGAGTATAGCCATCCTAGTGGGTGTGAAGTGGTATCTCATTGCAGGTTTTCTTATTCATTGCAGTTTTTATTTGAATTTCCCCAATTGCTAATAACTGATCATCTTTTCATGTGCTTATTGACCACTTGTATATCTACATTTTTAAAGATTTTTTTTAAAGATTTTATTTATTTATTTGAGAGAGAGAATGAGATAGAAAGAGAGAGTATGGGGGGGGGGAGAGTCAGAGGGAGAAGCAGACTCCCAGCTGAGCAGGGAGCCCGATGCGGGACTCGATCCGGGGACTCCAGGATCATGACCTGAGCTGAAGGCAGTCGCTTAACCAACTGAGCCACCCAGGCGCCCCTGTTTTTAAAGATTTTATTTATTTATTTACTTGAGAGAGAGTGAGAGAGCACAAGTGGAGGGAGGGGCAGAGGCAAAGGGAGAGGGAGAAGCAGACTCCCCGATGAGCAGGGAGCCTGATGTGGGGCTTGATCCCAAGACCCTGAGATCATGACCTGAGCTGAAGGCAGACGCTTAACTGACTGAGCCACCAGGCGCCCCTGGCCATTTGTATGTTTTTGAAAGGGAAATGTCTCTTCAGACGTTTTGCCTATTTTTAAATTGGGTTTGTTTTTGTTTTGTTTTGTTTTGTTTTGTTTTTTTACTGAGTTATAAGAGTTCTTCATATATTTTAGACTTAAGTCCCTTACTATATATATGATTTACAATTCTCTTGTGGGTTGTCTTCTCACTATCTTGATGGGATCCTTTGAAACACAAAAGGGTTTAATTAGGTCCAATTTATCTATTTTTTTCTTTTGTCACCTGTGCTTTTGGTGTCATACCTAAGGAAATATAGCCTAATCCAAGGTCAGGAGGATTTATACCTGTTTTTCTTCTAAGAGTATTATAGTTTTAGCTCTTACGTTTAGGTCTGTCATGCATCTTAAAGTAGTTTTTGTACCTGATGTGAGGTAGGGATCCAGCTTTATCCTTCTGCGTGTGGATATCCAGTTTCCCCAGCACCATTTGTTGACATTAGTATTCTTTCTTCCATTGAGCTGTCTTAGGACCCCTGTTGCAAATGAGTTGACTATAAACGTAAGGATTCATTTCTGGACTCTTCCTTCTTTTACATTGATCTGTCATCTCTCCTTATGTTAGTACCACACTGTCCCGAGTACTATAGTTTGCAGTAAGTTTTGAAATTGGAAGGTATGAGTTCTCCAACTTTGTCTTTCTTTTTCAAGATGGTTTTTGCTGTTATGGGTGCCTTGAATTTTCATTTGAATTTTAGCATCAGCTCTTCAATTTCTTTTCTTTTTTTAAGATTTTTATTTGAGAGAGAGTGCAGAGCGAGAATGAGAGAGAGAGAGCATGAGCAGGGGGGAGGAGCAGAGGGAGAGGGAGAAGCAGACTCCCCACTGAGCAGGGAGCCCAACACAGGGCTTGATCCCAGGACCCCGGGATCACCACCTGAGCCAAAGGCAGCTGCTTAACTGAATGAGCCACTCAGGTGCCCCATAGCTCTTCAATTTCTGCAAAGAAGCCAGCTGGGATTTTGATAGGGATTGTATTGAATCCTTACTGCAAAAATTCCCTTCTATTCCTGGTTTTTTGAGTGTTTTTATCATGAAAGTATGTGGCATTTTGTCAATGCTTTTTCTGTATTTATGGAGATGGTCGTGGGATTTTTGCTTTTTATTATATTAATATGCTATATTGTATTAATTGTTTTTGTATGTTAAACCAACCTTGCATTCCTGGGATAAATCCCATTCAGTAATGGCATATAATCCTTTTTATATGTTGCTGGATTTTGGTTTGCTTGTATTTTGCTTAGGGCCCTTGCATCCATATTCATAAAAGATATTTGGCCTGTGGTTTTCTTGTGATCTTATTATCTGGCTTTGGTAGCAGTGTACTACAGGTTGAATAGAATGAGTTGAGAAGTGCTGTCTCCTATGCTCTTCTATTTTTTTAAGAGTTTGTAAAGGACTGATGTTTAGTTCTTCATTAAGTGTTTGGTAGAATTCATGGGTGAAGCCATCTGGACCTGGGCTTTTCTTTTGGGGAGTTTTTTCTATTACTGATTCAGTCTCTTTAGTTTTTTATACATCTGTTGAGATTTTCTATTTCTTCTTTTTTAAAGTTTCTTTTTATTTATTTAAGTAATCTCTACATCCAGTGTGGGACTCGAACTCACAACCCCAAGATCATGAGTCCCATGCTCTTCCAACTGAGCCAGCCAGATGCCCCAAGATTTTCTATTTCTTCTTAAGTCAGTTTCAACAGTTTTTGTCTTTCTAGGAATTTGTCCATGTCATCTAAGTTATCTAATTTGTTGGAATGTAATTGTTCATAGTATTCCCTTATAATCCATTTTATTTCTATAAGGTCCGTTGTAATATTTCCTCTTTCACTCTTAATTTTAGTAATTTGAGTCTTCTGGTTTTCTTGGTTACTCTACCTAAAGGTTTGTCAATATAGTTAATCTTGGGGAGGCCTGGGTGGCTTGGTCGGTTAAGCATTTGCTTTTGGCTCAGGTCATGATCCCAGGGTCCTGGGATCGAGTCCCACTTTGGGCTCCTTGCTCAGCAGGGAGCCTGTTCCTCCCTCTGCCTGCTGCTCCCCCTGCTTGTGCCCCCCCAACAAATAAATAAAATCTTTAAAAAAAACAAAATAAATAAAAAACATAGTTAATCTTGTCAAAGAATCAACTTTTAGTTTTGTTGATTTTCTCTACCATCTATTTTCTATTTCATTTATTTTCATGTTATCTTTATTATTTCCTTCCTTCTGCTTGTTCTGGGTTTAGTTTTCTCCTCTTTTTTCTAGTATATTTTTTAAAGATTTTATTTATTTATTTGACACATAGAGACACAGCGAGAGAGGGGACACAAGCAGGGTGAGTGGGAGAGGGAGAAGCAGGCTCCCCACCGAGCAGGGAGCCCTATGTGAGGCTCAATCCCAGGACCCTGGGATCATGACCTGAGCCAAAGGCAGACGCTTAACGACTGAGCCACCCGGGCGCCCCTTTTTTTCTAGTTTCTTAAGGTAGAAGAGTGGGTTATTCATTTGAGATCATCCCTCTTTTTTAATATAGGTGTTAACAGCTATAAATTTACCCCTAAGCACAACTTTAGCTGCATCTTATAAAGCTTTGTACATATGTTTTCATTTTCATTTATCTTAAAATATTTTCTAATTTCCCTCATGATTCTCCTTTGACCCATTGGCTATCTAGGAGCATATCATTTAATTTCCACATACTTGTGAATTTTTTCTTTTGTGTCAAATAGATATTTCTAGTATGTCATTTTAATTCCCTTTTTTCTTTTTCTGTATTTTTTTGAGTTATTACTTAATGGCTGCGGTGGGGATTTCAATTAGCAGCTTAACTTAAAACACTCTACTTCAAATTAATGCTAACTTAATTTCTTTCTTTTTTTTAAGATTTTATTTATTCATTCGAGACACAGAGATACAGAGAGAGAGAGAGCATGAGCAGGGGGAGAGGCAGAGAGAGAAGCAGGCTCCCCACTGAGCCAAGAGCCAGATGTGGGGCTCGATCCCAGGACCCTGGGATCATGACCGGAGCTGAAGGCAGATGCTTAACCATCTGAGCCACCCAGGCACCCCTAACTTAATTTCAATAGTATACAAAAACTTTACTCCAATATAGCCTAATTCCCCCACTCTCCTTTGTACTATTATTGTCATACAAATTATGTCTTTAGATATTATAAACCCCATTAACACAGCTTTATAATTATCTCTTTATGTAATTGTCTTTTAAATCAGATAGAAGAAGGGGCACCTGGATGGCTTCTTCATGTGGATTTGTTACTGTCTAGTGTCCTGTCATTTCAGCCTGAAGGACTCCCTTTAATATTTCTTTTAGCTCAGTTCGGCTAGTGATTAATTTCTACTATAGTTTTTGAAGGATAGTTTTGCTAGACATAGATTTCTTGACTAACAGTCCTTTTCTTTCAGCACTTTGAATTTGTCATCCCACTGTTTTCTGGCCTCCATAGTTTCTGGTGAGAAATTCGCTATAAATCTTATTGAGGAGTGCTTGCCCATGATGAGTTGCTTTTCTCTTGCTGCTTTCAAGATTCTCTCTCTGTCTAGGTCTTTTCACAGTTTGGCTATGATGTGTCTATGTGTGATATACTCTTTCTTTGATGATCTCATCCAGTCTCAGAATGTTATATGCCAACTATTTACAGATGACTCCCAGATATATATTTCAAACCCAGACTTCTCCAGGACCCAGACTCATTTATTCAAAAGCCTACTTGTCATTCTCACTTGAATGTCTAACAGTTACCACAAAGTTAATATGGCAAATTGAAATCCTAATCCCACTTTCAAAAGACAAAAACAAAACAAAAAACAATCTGCTCTCATCACAGTTAAGACTCATCCCATTTTTTTTAAAGATTTTATCTATTTATTTGACAGAGAGAGACACAATGAGAGAGGGAACACAAACAGGGGGAGTGGGAGAGGGAGAAGCAAGCTTCCCGCCGAGCAGGGAGCCTGATGTGGGGCTCAATCCCAGGACCCTGGGATCATGACCTGAGCCAGAGGCAGAGGCTTAATGACTGAGCCCCTCAGGCGCCCTAAGACTCATCCCATTTGATGGCAAATCCATCATCCCAGCTATTCAGGTTAGAAGTCACAGAATCTTTAACTTCTCTCATTCTCTCATCCTCATCATCCATTAACAGTTACTACACATTGACTCTACCTTTATTTTTTTAAATATTTATTTATTTATTTATTTATTTATTTATTTATTTATTTATTTATATTTATTTATCAGAGGGAGAGAGAGCACAAGCAGGGGGAGCGGCAGGCAGAGGGAGAAGCAGGGTCCCCACTGAGCCAACAGAGCTACCAGAAACCCTGTAAACTTATTCAATTTCAAATAATAGCAAATGTGGGGTGCCTGGGTGGCTCAATCGATTAAGTGTCTGCCTTCAGCTCAGGTCATGATCCCAGGATCCTGGGATGGAGCCCCACATCAGGCTCTCTGCTCAGTGGGGAGCCTGCTTCTTCTTCTCCCTCTGCCACTCCACCTGCTTGTGTTCTCTCACTCTCACTGTCAAATAAATAAAATCTTTAAAAATAATACATAATAACAAATGCATCAGTGACACTACGTGCCAAGCACTGTTCTATATTAATTCATTTAATTTTCATAACAGCCCTGTAATAAGGAAATGGAGCACAGAGAAGCTAATCAACTTACCCAAGATCACCTGAATAGTAAGTAGAGCATTTGAACTGGAATCCAGGCAGTGTGACTTTAGAACTTATTTGAACCACTGTACCTTACTGCCTCTTTTATAGTTGAATTGTCATCTGAAAAATTGTGTTATCTGAAATCTTGCTGTTCTCTGTGTTTGCTCATCTTTGCTCATTGTGGATTATTTCTTTATGAAGATCACTTTTTCAGTTATTGTGGGAATCCTGAATGGGTCCAGAGGAGGAGTTTTACGCTGTTTCAGCTCAAGGGCATCCCTAATCCAGAACCACTTTTAGTGCCAATTCCTTATCTTGGACATTCCTGAACAACAGAGTATAGATTTTTTTTCTATAATGTGGTTTTATTTATTTATTTATTTATTTATTTATTTATTTATTTAAGTAATCCCTACACCCAATATGTGGCTTGAATTCTCCACCCTGAGGTTGAGTTGCATGCTCTACCAACTGAGCCAGCCAGGTGCCCAACAGGGTCTAGATTTGGATTCAGAATCAACATAAAATATTGTCCTGTAGTTACAAATTCTTAGGAAAGTTTTGTGTTTGTGATTTTTTTCACCCAGAGCCAGGAATAGGTAGATAAACTTCTTTGTTGCCTCCCTGTGGATGGATTTTTTTTTTTAAGTCCACCCTTCAAAGGGTGTAGCCTTTTGAGGATCTTAGCTTTATTTGGAAATTTCAATTCCAACTACCTTTCTCACACAGGCCCCAAACCCTTCTGTCCTCATGGAGGATTAAAACTCAAGCCACTTAATTCCTGCAACAGATACTTCTTTCTCTATCCCACCATATTCCCAGCCATGGCTGCTTCAGTTTAATATTACATGTTTACTGCTCTGGTTTTATGTTCTTTCTTTGTTTTGGGTCCCTAAGGACTTTCCTTACTTTCTTGTGAGCCCAGCTATGCATTTAAAAGCTAGCATTTATCACCATGAGTCATCTCTCCCCTTCTCCCCCCACCAAAAAAAAAAAAAATCCCTCCTTTTATATTTGTTACTATTGTTGTCCCAGAATATATCATCACCAGCTGGGTCATTTAGTAGAGGAGGTGTTTTTTCGGACTGTGCAAAATTGGTAATTTAATATAATAGAGAACACATTTTATTTTAGTTGTCAAAAACAAGGCCATGCATTTAAAAATATATTTGTTATATTTTATCTTTAGGTAGCATCTTTAGGTGTTGTGGCAGGAGGACTTTCAGAATATTTAATTTAGCCATATTGCCAGAAATGGAAGTCAACAGTCACATTTGTGCTGTGTCCTGGCCATGGCTGACTGGTCTAAGATTGGATATACCACCTCTCCTGTGTTTTTATACATGTTGTTCACTCCGCCTGGAATAGCCTCATCCATTCTCACCCTCTCCCCTGACATATCTAGCTAACTTATATTTATCCTCAAAACTCAGCCCAGAATTTTTTTTTTCAAAAAGAACTTCCTTGGTTCTCTCCAAATGAAGTTAGTCTCTCCCTTCTTTGTATTTTGTAGGCAGTTTTCTTGTGGTGCCCATTAAGATTATTAGTTTTAATGGTTCGTTTGCATAATTATTTTTCTGCCAGTTTTGAGTTTGTCTGGGGTGGAAACTGGTATTATTCATCTATGCTCAAAAATATTTGTTGAGTTGAATTTCTAGTGAGGAACTGGGCTTAAAGGAAGAAAGAGAAGACCTTGCGATAAGACTCTAGATGGGAAAGGAGGATTTTGAAGATTCAGAAGAAATGCCTTTGGAAAGAGGGCCCTCCTGGCTTATTATCCACAAGTTTCCTCTTTGCCACCTTCGTCAATAGCATTTCTGCCTACACAGCAATTATCTGAGTTCCCACAGTTTTTTGGCCTCCTCCAAGATAGTTTAGTCTAACCCAAGATGCCAGGTCCAGATTTGAGGTTTCCCAACTACCTTTGACTTCACACCCACTCCTGGTTTACTAGTACTTTTTATTTCAATAATTAAAGACCACCTCCACATACACTATCTCATTTATTCCTTATAACAATCCTGTTGTAAAAGGAATATCTCCCTTTTATAGATGAAGACTGAGTCTTGAAGAGATTAAGAACCTTGCCCAAATCACATACTAGTAAGTGGTAGTGCCAGGATTTGAAACCTGCTAGTTTGACTCCAAAATTCACATTGAACAGCCTGAATTCCAGTAGGTCACAGGATAAACTTGACAACTTCGAGTGTATGCTAGGAGGAGAGCCATATGACAAATCTGTATGTGAAAAAAATTAATACATGTAGACAAAGAGATAATCCACATGAAAATATAACTTTTCTTTTTTTTTAAGATTTTATTTATTTATTTGACAGAGAGATAGAGAGAGCACAAGCAGGGGCAGAAGCAGGCAAATGAAGAAGCAGACTTCCCGCTAAGCTGGGAGTCGGTTGTGGGGCTCGATCCCAGGACCCTGGGATCATAACCTGAGCCCAGGGCAGACACTTAACCGACTGAGCCACCCAGGCGTCCCGAAAATATAACTTTTCTTAGAGTAGGAACAGAAAGAGAACATTCACCAACCACCGACCTATGCCTCACATTTATTTTATTTCATATTTTTATAAGGCAAGTAGTATTAACCCTGTTTTACATGTTCCTCAGTTTTAGGAGGCCCAAGAACCTCCATAGCCTTTAGGTTAAGAGCTTCTGCTTTGGACCCACACACACTTGGGTTCAAATACTGACTTTACCTCTTAACCAAATGTCAAACTGGAGAAAGACGTTCTGTGAAATGAGGTAATCTGTAAAATGGGGATAATAATAACTACTTAAAGGGTTGTTCTAAGATTAAATCATCTAAGAGTTGAATGAACTTAATACAGTGCTTGCCATATGATGAGGCCTCAACCAATGGTAGCTTATAACACTAAATCCAAGAGAGATTTGGTAATCTCAGAGATATGCATATCCAGTTACATGGCAGAGCCAAGATAGGAACTCAAGTCTGTGTTATCTCAAAACTCCACACTCCTTCCATTATACCAGGCTGGCAAGCTATCTTACATCTCCATCTTAAAATATTTTTTCTAAGAGTCCAGAGGTCTAACCTTCCAGATTAGTATAATTTTTAATCTTTTCTATTTTAGACTCATAAAAATATAAATCAACCTTACTACACTACCCAGAATTAACTATTAATATTCTATTTTCTTCCAATCCACATTGCTTTCTGGAAAGGTTTCCTAACGCATACTTTCACCAGCAATAGTATAGGATAGTGTCTGGCTAATACTAATAAAAAATATTCTGATCACTTTTAGGCCTTTTAGCTAAGATCAAGTGTAGTATCTGTTTAGTTTAACATTTGATATGTCCTCTATCCGAGGACAATATATTAAATGGATTTTTGGAACTAGGAGATAGAATAGGACCTTGCTCCATCCACTTCACGCATAGACCTGGTATTGCAATACTTCCAGGAACAGTGCACCCCCTCAGTGGAACAGAGGTTGCCCAAAAGGGGGGGGAAATGGAAAGGAAAAAAAAAAAAGAACTCTGCTCTTTTGATAAATGCCAAATGATACAATTAAATTTCTATTCTTTGATCAGCGAAGTTAAATATTATTTCCTTTAATTTCTATTTCTTCTTTAGCGGACTGCCTGTTCCTATTCCTTTGCTCGTTATTCTACAGGAGTATTAAGTGTTTTATCCTTAGAATTTGTTTTCTACAATACAAAAAAAACAGAAATCTGGCTGGTAGTCCAGGGCTGCTGAACTCCGGTTAAGGCCCACAAAGCCGCGCTCGCCCACTGCTTAACTTTTAAGGCTAGCGAGCGGCCTTTATTCGCCAAGGCGGAAGGAAGGCTTTCACGAATCACGAGGGCGCGAATTGCTGCAAAGGCGTTGGCTCTCCCGGCCTCGGGTGGAACGTCTCGCGGGATCTCAGCCGTCCTTGGGGGGGGGGGGCCTTCGACCCGACTACAAATCCCGACATACAACGCGCCTGAAGGCCCAAGCGCCCGAATGAAGGCGCAGGTCCAGGGTCATGTGTCTGTCTGCGTAAGGCGTACGGTCGTCTCTCCTACGCCTTTTTCTGCGGCTTCCACCTTGGCCGCCATTTTGTGCGGGAGGTTCTGGAACCTCTGAGCCCCGCCGACTCTATGGTTGAGCATTTCAGGGATCGACCAATCGGAAGCCAGATCTCGGAGGAAAACCCCGCCTTCACCCTCATGGAGGCGGGAACTGCCACGAAGCTCCTGTGGAGAGAGAGGAAGAAGCTGCGGAAAGCCAATAAGAAAGGAGGACTTGAGGACGTTAGCCAATGAGGGTGCGAGGGGATTGCGGCCAATGAGAGTGAGGTGATCCCGGGACACGTGGGTGGGGGAGCGGAGCGCTGAGACCTAGAGCTAAAGCCGGGAGGTGAGTCAGTCACCTTGAGCGGGGCAAGCGCTGTGGTCCGAGTAGGGGCAGCGGGGCAGTGGGAGTGCAGGTGACTCGGGGCCGGAAGCCAGCAATGGGCAGGGGTGTAGGCTGGGCTGTGTGGAGGGGCATTTGTCCTCCGGGCCGGGAGAAGCGATGGGTGCCTATATCCTTAACAATTAATGTTAATTACCAACGGTAATGAACGATTAACTGTCCCCACGGAGGCGGGCCGGGGACAGCTGTGTAAAATGGTTAGGACTCTGGCCGGCACTGACCCAGTATCTACCTCCAAAAGTCTTCCCTGGAGACCATACTCTTCAGCAACATTTCCTTCCTGGGGTTTTGGCCTCCTTCCTCTACTGAAGATCTCCGTGACCTTCCTTTGCAGACCCTTTCGCGCTGTGCCTCTGACCTCTAATGCCCTCCTCAGCTGGGGCACGGTGCAAGGAAGAACGTGGTCCAGGGAGGGCGGGCGGGGTGAAGGGGACGACCGAAGGTCGCCACTATAAGCAAACGACTAGGCTGTGAGTGGATCTTTTTTTTCCTCTGCAGACTGAGAAAATGCAGACCACCGGGGCACTACTCATTTCTCCGGCTCTGGTAAGCTGCGGCTCCGGGGTGATCCGTAGTGCCAGATGTGGGAGCTGTCAGTGTTTAATGAATGAACTCAGAGGAGCTTGGCATCCAGATGCTGTTGGCTCTTTGGGGAGGCTGTAGTGATGCAGTTACCCCCTGTTTATTTAGACCTGTAAACCAAGCTTTCTTGGCTTTGGAATGTGGTCAGAGTCGGGATAGGATCTTGTTACACGAGTCTGGCTTGGCCGTAGCCAGACAGCCCACTGAAGTAGTCATTCTCAAGCTTGGCTGGAACTCTTCAGGTGATTCCAATGTTCAGCCATGTTTGAGAATCACTGCATTATGTTGACATGTTTCAAGAAAGCCAGGTTACAGGGGGCTCTGCTTAGATGGTTGTTCGAGGAGCCTCACCAGGCTTACTGGCCCAGTCCATTCGGGGCGTGTACCAGTGAGTACATGCTAACAAAAGATTTACCTCTTATTCTTTGGGTGATCTGGGTACAAACCCCTCCTGTACCCGGTTTGATGTTAGTGTGGGTTCTTCCATTCTGGGATACTGATAAGGGCTGTGCCCGTAGAAATGAACTTTGGTACGTGGGTTTAAATGGGAAAGTTGCCACTGCTAACTACGTCTGGGTCTTGGACGGCTGTCTCTTGTGCAGGCCTATCTGGTAGAAACAGGAATGCATTAATTGACCTTGAAACACATGGGCTTTTTTTGTTTATAATCTTGTCATTTTTGACAGAAGTTCAGCATCTAGGTTTTCCTGTCCCTTGCTTGATTTGGAGGAATGTATCTTTCTGATTTGACAGATTCGCTGTTGTACCAGGGATCTGATCAGGCCTGTGTCTGCCTCTCTCTTGAGTAGGCCAGAGATCCCAGCTAAACAGGTAAAGGAATGTGGGCCCTCCTGTACATTTCCCCAGGGACACCTGGCTGGCTCAGTCCGTAGAGCATGCAACTCTTGATCACGGAGTTGTAAGCTTGAGCCCCGCATCCGGTGTAGATTTATTACTTAAAAGTAAAAATCTTAAAAATTAATTAATTCATTTCCCCAGGGAGGGGTTCTTCAAATAGTGACCTGTAGGCCAGAGTGGGAGGACAGTTAGAGAACCTATTATGCTTTAATAGCTCTAAGTACCCCAAGGTGAACATTGTAGGTGAGAAGTTTGCAAAAGTGAGGTTTCCCTCACCCACAAAATTTCCCTGGCCCTGTCAGAAAATGGGCCCGAGGACTAATTCCCAGCCTTCTCTGCAATCTGAGCATTCTCTACCTGCCAGGCGATTTGCCAGGGGTTTGGGAGCCCAGGTGGGTTGGGTGAGGGGATGGGAGTCGGCCGCCTGTCCTTATGCCTCACTACCTCTCCTTCCCTACTTGCCTTTCCAGCCATCCTGCAGCAGCGCCCCGCTCCAGGTGGCCCGGCGGGAGTTCCAGACCAGTGTCGTCTCCCGGGACATTGACACAGCAGCCAAGTTTATTGGCGCTGGGGCTGCCACGGTTGGTGTGGCTGGTTCAGGGGCTGGCATTGGAACAGTGTTTGGCAGCTTGATCATTGGCTATGCCAGGTAAGTTTGGGGGTGGCCTAGAGTATCTCCTACCATAAATTCCACCCCATTTGGGAGAAGCCTCAGCAGGAGGTCCCACTAGCTTGGGGTTGATTTCATCGACCTCTTGATTTCTCCCGTGATCCCTGAATCATTATTTAAGTGTGTTTTCAACCTGGCTCACTTAAACTTAACCATGTTGGTACTCTGCTTACCTGTCGAAATCCCCAGGATATACGTAGGTTAGGCCCTCTCCCGGTTTCAGCACCCCCTCATACCCCCCACTGACAACCTACCTGTGTCCCCTCCACCACCCATTTCCTCACCCCTTCCTTTCCCCCGGCTGGCATCAATCTCTGTCCCTGGCAGGAACCCGTCTCTCAAGCAGCAGCTCTTCTCCTATGCCATTCTGGGCTTTGCCCTGTCTGAGGCCATGGGGCTCTTCTGTTTGATGGTCGCCTTCCTCATCCTCTTCGCCATGTGAGGTTCCATGAGGGTCACCTACCCGTCCCTGCTGCTTCGACTTCAGGCCATGCCTGGTGCTGGAGTGTGCTAAGCTTTACCATTAAACACAACGTTTCTCTAAACCCATATGCCTGTGCCTCTGTCCTTTGCCCCTGCGGAGGGCCTTGGTGGAAAGGTGGGACAAGGCAAGTGGGAATGGGTCAGCCATGGTTTGGAACTCCTCGGGGCTGGGAAGTAGCACTGAGAACATGGAGGGCTCCCTTTATTTCCCAGAGGGAGCATGGATTTGTCTAAGTAATGATAATTGGTGCTTTTTTCCCCTTCGAATTTAATATAATAATAATGTGCCCTTCTTAAGGGGCTCATATTTCAACAACCTTATGAACTAGGAATACAATGGTTTATACCCATTTTGCAAATGAGGAGACCAAGGCTTAGGGCAGCAAAATAACTTGCCCACCATCACAGAGCTGGGAAGTGGAAGAATTGGGGATTCCACCTCAGGCCAGCCTAACCCGTTAACTGCTGTGGTGGCCCCACAAATAGGGTGGCACAGGTAGGGAAACAGTCTCAGAGAAGTGATGTAGCCGGTTGGAAATGGAGGTGGGCTTCCCATCTGCCTGCATTTAGCCCCACTTGTAAGTTTCATTTTTATTCTTAGATGAAGGAATGAAAGACACTTTTTTAGAGTGTCTAAATGTTCCTGAATAAAGCAGATGAGGTACAGTTCCTGCTCTTGGAGAATTTACAATCTTAGCCTTGCTAGGGATAAAAAGAGTGAGTTTTTTTTGGTTGAACCAACTAGTGAGCTGCGTAGAGAGCCTTGCACAACATCTTCCTTGTGGTCTCGGTCTGTGCCCAGCAGGCTTCCCCAACTTGGCTATCGTGCGACTGGTAACCCAGAGAAGAGAGTGCTAGGCGGATACATCCACAGCCGCTGCTTCTCTAAGCCCTAGCACCAGTAAACCATGACAAAATGAACACAGAGGTGCTGGTTAACACGCTCTGTCTCAAATTGGATGGTTTCAAAAGGAGTAAAAGTGGGACCCATTTTGTGAAATCCTTATACCTTGTGAAACTAAGAATATTCCTATCCAGCTGAAGGGAAGCTAGCAAAGAGGGTTAAAACACCAAAAACTGTGAGTTAATAAGAATGGATTGAATTTACATGCAACGTAAGGGCAGTCTGCAAGTACTTAGGTGCTAAGAATCCTCCTAGTAGTCTTGGGGAAGGCAAAGAAATCTAGGATCCTGCCCTTAAGGAGTTTGGGGCATTAAGGGAGCGGAAACCTTGAACAGTGTCACAAATTGAATATGTGGGTACAAAAACTATGTGCTGTAGGTGAGGAGAAGCAAGTCAGTGTGGTAATAACCTCAGCTAACACTTGAGCACTTGTGGGTCAGACACAGTGCTAAGCATTTTCTGTGAATAGCTTCCAACATCCCTGTGAAGTAAGTCATTTTATAGTCAAGGAA